ATTGGCACCTGTCAGAGCTGCAGCTCATTTTAGAAAGTCAACGGGGGCCCTGCCGGCCCGCTGCCAGCAGGCTGGGTCTCCGTGCTAGCCTCTGCCCCAGCCCCCCCCCAGGGCTCCCCCAGCTCAGACCTAGTCACCCCGCTTCAGGGGTGCCCCCCCAGATGGCGCCAGGAGTGGGCAGGGCCCCGGTGGGGGTCACAGAGCTCTGGGAAGGGCACCAAGGCCTCCCCAGGGGCTGCACGAGGCACGTCCCGAGGGCAGAGATCTGCAGTGCACATGCGCGCTCCTCACTGACGTCTAGGTTTGCCTCCTTTGCTGGTGACTTGATGATTAGTCTTCAAGGATGTGGAGAAGGGTCGGTTTGGTTTTGGTTTTGGAATTTGGGGGGAGATATGAGTGGGGTGAGCAGGGGCAGGTGAGAGTCACAGGCCGCCCGAGTGAGCAGACCACACCCCGTGTCTCTGCATCTCTCTCTCTGTCTCTGCAATCGTCTGATTCTGAGATGTCCCCACCCCCTGGCCCCTGCCCCTCCCCTGCCTGCAGCCTCTCCGACCCCCCTCCCCATTGCCAGCCCTGACACCGCCGGGGCGGGGGGTCCCTTCCTCCAGGACGACCCTGAGATTGAGGATGTGGAAGGGGGGGCCAAGGTCAGCACCCTGAAGCTGGACTTCGTTGAGGACGCCAACTTCAAGAACAAGGTCAACTACTCGTACACGGCGGTGCAGATTCCCACGGACATCTACAAAGGCTGTGAGTGCAGCGAGGTCGGGGACGTGTGCGCACACGCGCCCCACGCGTGCATGCATGCCCAGGATGGCCCCTCACGCTGGGCCGCCCACCCTCCCTCGTTCCCTGGCCCCATGTAGGAACGATGGAGGGGCTTCCTCATCAGATGGACTCAGGGACCCGGGGGGTCAGGGAGCAACTCCCCACAGGCAGGAACTCTGTGACAGACACTTCCCTCCTCCTCTGCTGGGGGAGAGGAGCGGGGGGAGGCTGGGATTCCAGGCTCCAGGGAGGGCAGCTTTGCACGAGGAGGAAACCAGGCCATTACAGCTAGCAGGACTTCAGTCAGACATCAGGAGGAACTTCCTGAAAGTCTTGGGAGCTGGGGGGGCCAAGAGGGGAACACTAGATGGGGAGCTCTAGCAGCAGGACTCAAGGCTCCGGGGTCTCTTGGTTCTGACTTAAATCGGGGTCACCTACAGGGCACCTCAGAGTCCAGGGTGCCCACTGGGCAGAGGGTCTGGGGACAGAGGCTGTCTCCAGAACGCAGGGAGCCCTCAGGGTCCGGGCAGCCGGAGGCGGGGGGAAGGGGGGCCGTCCCCGCCCCCGCAGGCCCCCTGCCCGAGCCAGTGGAGGGGCGCTATCGCAGGCAGGCACCCTAATTAAAACAGGAGCCACGCCGCCCTCCCCAGTCACCCCTCGCTACCCACACAAATTACATTTTATATGTTTTTTATTTACTGTGTCACTTTTAATTAAATCTGTAATCGCCCGCCTGAGGGGGCATGGGCCCCGTTTTCCAGCTCAGCGTGATCTGAGGG